CTAAGGGAGGATTCAGGGTCACCTGGTCCAGCCCTAACTATATGCTTTCGCAAAAAGGAAAGTTTTAAGCCTAATCTTAAACTTACACTTAGTGGTGTAATAGTGTGGAAGATATTTTTTCGTTGCACTTTGGGCCCATTAGTGCCAACTGAGCCTCGTTTAAACACCACAACCTACCTGAGTATTGTTGCTGACCATGACCATCTCTTTACAACCACAGTGTAGCCAACTTCTAATGGATTCTTCCGGCAAGCTAACATGCCATGTCACAAAGCTCAGATCAGGCTCAAATGGCCTCCGATTGCCCTGATTTTAATCCAGTAGAGCACGTTTGGGATGTGGTGTAACAGCATATTCACACTGTGCATGTGCAGCTGATAAATCTGCAGCAAATATGACAGGCTGTCATATCAACATGGACAAAGATCTTTGAGGAATGTTTCAAGCATCTTATTGAATCTATTTCACAAATAATTAAGGCAGGTGTAACTACTGAAATGGCCGAGTATCTGCGGTAAAAGTAATACACAGACAAGCCGCCGCCAAACATGGGAGCATCGTGAGAAGCACTGACTGCCGGGTTTACACATAGAATAGGCAAACAGTAAATGTCAGCTGGCCTCATTACACCTGCGCTGAGCATGACTGTGGATAAGGATGCATTGATTTTAATGGTCCAGTCCTTTTAGATAAACAGTCCTGCAGGATCTGCGACCTTTTTATCTGATTTCAGTGGCTTGCAAAAAGCTAGAGCAGATAACACAGTGTACTCGCAATGTTCAAGATTACTCTCTCTATCGTCTGAATTCATCTGGTCTCACTGTGCAGCTGGACATGTGTGTGTTTATAGCCAGATAAAGCTGCAGGTCTTATCTCTGAGCCTCCTGGTGTTCCTCTCACTGCTCTCTACACCTTCTTATTTTCACGTTCTCTCTTTAGTTTCCTCATCTCTTTCTTTTCATGCCGCTGTGCAGCTCCTCATCGCATCCAGTTGCTGTTGTGCTCGATGGCAGTTGAAGATCAAGCAGGAAATTGAAGTCCAATCACTGAAAACTCGCTCTTTGTTCCGTTTGAAAGGGCTGGCGTTAAAATGTCTTTATTTGTCAATAGATTGAGCGCAGCAAGCGAGTGGGTTTGCAATGATAAAGCTGAATGATGAGTCCTCACTCAAGGACTTTAATAACCATGGTTAGCCTACTTATGCCATTCAGCCACAAGCTTTTTAAATGGAGTTGTGTAATGGAGCGATGTTGTCGCAGAATTACAAAGGATTCGGTCTAATTATATGGCTCTGGCTTGTTGTTTGAAAAGACCGTGTGTGTGTGTGTGTGTGTGTGTGACAAAGCGAGCCGAGCCTCAGCCTGCTGTGAACTGGGTAACTGCTGGTTGGCAGGGGATCACTGTGATACCCATCTGCCATGTGAGTTTTACATCTGCCTGACAGTCATGTGAAGCTTTTAAGCTAATGTGGGTCCTTCAACACCTGTGACCTAAAGTATAATTTCAATTAAAACACAAAACAAAAACAAAACATAAAGGTCTGAATAAAAGTTGAAAAAAACAGAATGGAAGGAAAAAAAAACACCAAAACTCACAAAACACAACTGACGGATTTTTAGGTAAGATGGAAAAGTTGTGGAAGTGACAGAAATCAAAACATGTGAAAGATTGTACTGAGACATACTTGAAAAGGATTCAGAAAAAGATGCAAGGTAATGTGTGTTTTAATCACATAATTCATATAATATTGTAAACATTTGTTTGCTTTTAGCCGTTTTCTGTTAGCTTGTCACTCCTGCAGCTGTTTTGTCTCCCAAAACACTTCTCTCGTTTTTCTTTGTGAACTTTTACTGCATTATTTTTTTTCTGTTCTTCTGTTGTTTTTGCAGCCTTTTTCTATTTGCTGCAGTTTCAGTGCATTTGAACTCACAGGGCCACCGTACACATGGCCTTTTACATTGGTGCAGTTATTTTCTCCTATCCACAGCAGGAAAATCCACATTCCTTAATCTATGCAAAAATGTCAAAGTTTACGTGAAGTTAATATGTCTCACTTCACAAAAATGTGGTCCTAGTGTAAATGATATCATTCTTTAAAGTCACTTATAATACGACTTCACCTGCAGTATTGGTTTGGTTGGACGGGGGACACTTAGCGTTGGATAATCCACCCAAATACCCACATTAGTTTAATTTTACTGTAAGAGCAAACCTTTAGCAGTGTCCATGTCTGATCTGGCTCAGAGTCTGTCTATTTCAAAAGGATGTGGGCACTGATTCCTGTACTTGACCATGGACTCAAATCTGAGTACAGCAGTAGTTCATTCAAATTCAGTGTAAGAAAACAGCTCAAATAATCATTCAGCAATTTTAGATCACTGCGTTCACATTTTTTGGTAGACTACTTTGTTTTTGTCTCTCACAGGGCTGTCAGTCAGCCACACTCACATTTACACAAACTTAATTAAGAGTCAGGATGAGGAGAACGTTCAAACTTGACACCACACAGAGAGGCTCGAGCCAACAGAAAGATTTGGTACGTGCAGATTAAAATACTTTGTATGCTGATTTTGAACTGTGGTTTAGATTTAAAAGGATCAGCTCACTAATTTTGGGCATCAAGATTATCTTATCTTATTATTAATGTTGCAAACCACTAACCAAATTATGAATAGATGACAAAATCTGATATTGTTTATGTTTTGTGTCCGGTATTTTTATAGAAAAGTATATGAACCATGCCACACACATCCTGTGTCTGGCAGACCCTATCTCTACCTTTACGATTAGGCCCTTAAGCCCAGTATAACTACTGCAGCATAACTCTCTTAGTTATGCTGCAGTAGGTGCAGACTGCTAGGGGAATCCCATGATGCATTGAGTATTTCCTCTTTAGTCACCTTTCTAACTCACCATGTGTTAATAGACCTCTCTGCACTGAATCATAGTTGTTGTTATTCTCTGGCTCTCTTCCACGGCATGTCTTTATCCTGTCTTCCTTCTCTCACCCCAATTGGTCACTGCAGATGGCCCCGCCCCTCCCTGAGCCTGGTTCTGCTGGAGGCTTCTTCCTGTTAAAAGGGAGTTTTTCCGTCCCACTGTCGCCAAAGTGCTTGCTCTTAGGGGGTCATATGATTGTTGGAATTTTCTCTGTATTTATTACTGTAGGGTCTACCTTACATTATGAAGCACTGTTGTTGTGATTTGTCACTGTATAAATGAAACTGAATTAAATTGAACTACAGCATTCGAAGCCTAAGCTAGTGTCTAATGCCCTGCACTGGCTTTGCATTGGTTGAGAAGGGCAATAATTTCTCAGAAATTACTCTGTTGAAAGTAAAGGTTGCTCACCCCTCTCTCTTTATCAGTCAATATCTTCCCTTCATTCCATGGTCAGATGAGGGTGCTATGTGTATTTGCAGCATCTGTTATCATCTGGTACACTTGCATTATTTTTTCTGTAGCAAAAAACACCAATACGGACTTGCCTCACCATTTATGAGACTTTTACACAGTCCATCAAACGTTTTTGGTTTCAGCCTCAAAGGAATGCTAGTTTCTTTTCATGCTTGTTACTGTTAGCTAACTAAGCTTGATGATGAATTTGGACCGAGAAACTCTTGTCACCCCAGACTTGACTGAAGCTACTGAAGCTTAGCAGTTTCTGCTGATACTGTTCTCGCTTTTCCTCAGGTGGTTATTGGTGGGGATCAAAGTGTTGTTAGTTGTAGGAAGTGATCAAATTTTTTTGTCACATTATTTTGTAATTCGTCTTGTCATGAATTGGGGCTTTGATGTGTCACACTGTATAAATTACCACCATTTGGTGGGATCAAGTCTGAGCAGGCTTGATTACTTTTGACAGCTTGCTTCTGTATTTATGAGGAACTACAGAGTGCCTACAGATAGAACAAGTCATTAAAAATTATATTGCAGTAATAATGCATGATTGCTACAAAATCCCAAGACACACTAACGTGACTCAGCAAACCATTTGGTCACCACTGGTTTCTCATCCTCTGCAAGGCTGTGGAGGGCTCACTATGCATAAGATGAACAGTCCTCCAGTCTATTCAAGGCTTGTAGGTGATATTTGTACAATGAAAAGCTCCTATATCTGATCCCACTGTGTTTAACACATTGTTTTTTGCACCTTGAGATTCAAATAAGCACATTTTTTCCTTCTGCACAGTATGAATAATTTTGCAGTAGGTGGCTTGTGAAAATGTTTCTTTGTGCATTTATGTATTTCATTACTCATCAAAAGATGCAAAATCTGTCACTGTGAATGAATGCAACTCACATTGTTTTATCACATAGTTTTTAGAATTTGTTTCCCACATTTTATAGAAAATCCCACTCACGTTTTTTTCACTATCGAAACACTTGTATAACTAGTTTCTTATATCAGAACCTGTCTTTTAGTACGCTAGTCTGCCCATATACTGTTAATGATGCTATCAGACTGACAAGGTTCTACACAGAAGAACTCCATCAGGTAGCATAGCATAGCATCTTTATTTATAACGCACTTTACATCCAACAGTGTTGGCCAAAGTTCTACAAATACAAAACAAAGAGAAAACAGTTTAAATTACATATAGAATATCTACAAATTAAAAATAATATAATTAATAAGAAACAGGTACAACAAGCCTGTTAAAATCACGAGCTGCTGAACCTTAAAGGCCTCTAACATCATGTCTGTTCTCTCCTTTTCTCGCCATTTCAGTGCAGTGTCTGGAAATGACCACTAAACGGAAGCTGATTGGCCGGCTGGTGCCGTGCCGTTGTTTCCGTGGTGAAGAGGAAGTGATCTCAGTGTTGGACTACTCCCACTGCAGCCTGCAGCAGGTCCCCAAGGAAATCTTCAGCTTTGAGAGAACTCTGGAGGAGCTCTACCTAGATGCCAACCAGATTGAGGAATTACCCAAGGTACCCCTGAGTCATGTGTTAATTTTTTCCTGATATAACTCTTCTTCCTTTTACTGACCTCTTTTGGGGGGTTTACTAATCCTTATGCCTTTTTTAAAAAAAATTTCTTCTTCTACTATTAAGCTTCTACTACTAAACTAAAATCTGTTTATTCTGACAGTTGATCAAATTCACAATTAAAAGCTGTTCATCCACTGGTACCCTGAGTAACAATTAGGGGTCAAAAACTGCCTTTTCACTTCACCCACTCAGGTTTATTGAGCTAGTTCTGCACCTTTTTTGTACAGTTGTGTATGCGATGCTGACCATTAGTCTTGTTGCTTTGTTTATGATTTTTTTCAAATTTGGATTTCGGATGTGAAACACTGATGCTAACTTAAAATGCCCTCTCACTATTTTGTGGCGATACCCTTACTGGGCAATATTGATACATTAACATCCATGAGTTCACACTGGGAGCTGCACAGAAGCAGCCCACGTGGGGACTGCTGATGCAGAACGCCCTTCTAAAATTTCAAGGAGAATTACAGGTGCTGCTTATTAAAGGGCCGTCACATTTTATGGATATCCTGGCCTGGTTTAAATGACAAAGATGTTGAATTAGATTTCTAAATATAGCCTGCATGAATGGAGACAGTCTAATAAGGATGTATGAGATGAGATGTGCGACCTCGCATTTAACTTGCACAAAAAAATTCTGCTCAGTCTTGACAATGTATGTCTGTGCCAGCAATGCATATTAAGTCTCTGGCTCCAATGTGAGTGAGTTGGGCAGCTTCTACATGTGTGTGAGTGTTTAGAAGGCTCTGTTACAGTGGCCTGCTGTGACCTCTCCACACAGAGCAGATCTGCCCATTTTAGAATGTATATGCTGTGGCTTATGTGCTGAACTTTTTACTGAAGAGAATGTCCTAGAATTAATGAAGGTGACATATTGCCTGGTCAATAAAATAACAAAAATATATATGATCTTCAGAATTAAAATCACCAACTTAAGATTGTGTCAGTTCTTCCCCCAACATGCCTCCAAAATAGCTTTGGTATGTCTGGGCATGGACAAGGAAACCATAGATGTGTCACTTGACGTTAGTCTACAAGTAATGGCAGCAGAGTCTTTGGATCCTGAATAAGCCCAGATGTTTGATCAAGTTTGGATCTGGGAACAGTGGCACGGTAGTGCAGTTGTTAGCACTTTCACTACGTAGCAAGAAGTGGTTTTAGATGTGGTCAGGATTATTTCTGTGTAGAGCCCTTGCTGCCGTAGTTTCTTTCTAGGTACCTCCCACAGCCCAAAATCTTGCACATTGATCTGCAGGAAAGAGGCTGCTGCCTCTTCAAATGTTTTGAGGGTTTACAACAAAATATACTACAGCTAGCTAGTACATTTTAAAGTAGCGTAGAAGACATCACATCAAGAAGGTCCTGAGTAAATGTGGTTATCCCAGCTGGACATTTGTCAAAGCTGGGAAGGCACCTAAAGAAAGTTCCAGCTGATCGAGAAGAGAAGGACAACTGCTGCCTAAGCGAAAACCCTTAGTGATCCCATACGTGTCAGGAGTATCGGAGCAGTTGAGACGCATTTTTTCTAAACACCGTGTCTTTTGTGGCTTCTGTGGCTTTTACACCCCAAAAAACGCTGCACCAAAAATTGGTCCACCCCAAGGATCAGGTCCCCCGACACAAACAGAGTAACGCTGTTAAGTGCCAGGAGGATTACCAGGATTTATACATCAGGGAAACCAAACAACCTCTGGCAAAGCAGATGGCACAACACAGAAGACCAAACTCATCAGGTCAGGACTCTGCAGTCTATTTACACCTACAGGCCAGTGGACACTCTTTCAATGATGAGGATGTTCACATCCTGGACAGGGAGGAACGCTGGTTTGAACGGAGCGTCAAGGAGGCCATTTACGTGAAAAGGGAAAGACCATCTCTGAATCGAGGAGGGGGCCTGAGGGTACATTTTTGCCATCTTACAATGTTGTGATTGCAGCCATCCCTCAACTCTCTGTGAATGGTACTCATGGCCATTGATCCCACTGATCAATGGCCATGAGTACTGATCAATGATCAATAGGCTTTGATCAGTGGTTGTCCATCAATGGTCATGAGAATTTGCATATTAATGATCTGACCTCACAGCCCATTGTTCATTCAGTGGGCTGGTTTCAGTTATTGTGCAATGTACTGTTTATAAGACTGGGGAAACCTGCAGTCAGCTTAGAGTGAAAAAGTCACATGGATGAGTGACGAAACATTTCTTGCATTGAAAACGCTACGTCCAGATGAACAGAATCAACCTTTTGGGACCAGGGACCCAAGTTTCCAAAAAGCCATTGCAAAATAATAAGATTATTAGTTTAATCCACTTTGTATGCTATTGGGTTTTTTTGGTGTGGCTAATTACTGTATATTCATGAGGGTCATGTTGCATAAAACTAAAAGTGCAAGTACACTAAGAACACTAAGAACATTCAATGTTTTCTGTTCAATTCTTCTATAAGTTTGGGAAGAAGTTTAAAGAGACTGTGTTGTATATGAGACTACATTAATTCAGGGTATGCAAATTTTCCATTTTATCTTGACAATAGCTGTTAGCATATCTTCCTGAAAACCAGCCTATTCTTTTATGTCTTCTTTAACAGACATTTGTTTTTGGTCTATATCTTTTGACGTATTTGAGTTACCCTAATAAGTCATGTTGCACTCAGAAGAGGACATTGTGGCCTTTCCAATGATATCTCATGTGTTCAGGTGGCCTCTTTTAGCTCCAAATAGGCAGGACATTGAAAGATATTTGTTTCCTTAGGTCTCGGGAGGATATAATAGCTTTTACTTAGCAACCAAAACTGCTAATATTGCAGTTGCTTTACTATTGTTATATTTAAGCAATGAAAATATTCCCACTTTGATGACATTCATATAAAAATAGTCATATTGGCAAGCAAGAGGATTATAACCCAGCTACTGTAGCTAGCAAAATGTTTATTTTTTAAATTAATATTAGCTAAAACTTGAATTATTATTGCTCTACTGGCTTATTATCAGCTGGCTTATTGTTGCTATATAACAATCAGATACATTTATGAAGAGAAACACCTTTTGGTTTAATACCATAGTGAGTCTGTAGAAAAACTGTCAAGGTTAGCTTAGCTTGGTCATTGAGAGTAATACTCTTGCTGAGCCCATATACTTCACTATTTGGCCTAAAACTCTGGCCTTATCTCTGGATGTTAAATGCAGCCGTTATTGATTCTAGCAGGCAGCAAGAGTGATTGAAAGTTTTGTTAAAATGCAGGGAGTGAAGATTGAGTGAAGCTGTTTTGCTATCTAGTTACGTTTTTTCTTAACCATTGTGTTGCTGCTCATTTAGAATCTGGTATATCGGAATTACCTTTTAGTTTTGACCATTTGCTTTGTTATATTTTTGTACATGGGTATTTCTGAATTCCTAGAGCATTTATCGCATTTACATACCCCCATATTCTTTCATTTTTGTATATATTTTCTTATTAGCATATTTTTTCTGTTTAGGAGCACATTTGTCTAGATGTCTTTTCCTTTCAATCTATAATGTGTTTTGTCCTTTGGGAAGACATTACATTTGCATTATTAATAGACAAGTGCTGCTAAAGTGGCCTAGCTTTTCGAAAAACATTAAGTGCCTCATGCCTCCAGGTGACGTTCTACACCCTGCCAAGATCATAATTCCTTTATCGTCCCTCTTTGTGTTCCCACAGCAACTCTTCAACTGCCAGGCCTTGAAGAAGCTGAGCATGCCAGATAACGACCTGTCCAACCTGCCCACCACCATCGCCAGCCTGGTGAACCTGAAAGAGCTAGACATCAGTAAAAACGGTATGCAGCCTAAACAACCCTGGTTTAAAATAACAGGACGAAACCTCATAATTGCAATACCGAAACTTCACAACGAAGAAGAAGAAGAAACAAAACCAGGTGGTCCAGACTTTTGTGAAACTAAACATCATGTATCACTCTCTTCCTGTCAAACAGGAATCCAGGAGTTTCCAGACAATATAAAATGCTGTAAAGGCTTGTCTGTGGTGGAAGCCAGTGTCAACCCCATCACCAAGTAAGACACAAACTGTACACTCTGCACATTACTGCACAGCTGAACCTGTTACACATTACTTCAGTCTCTGGTTTGATGGCCGTCAACCTAAATGTTTACAAGCCAGGTTGAAAAATTGAACATTGTGCATCTAATTACTCCAAGCACGCAGCCTCTGGATAACAACCACGGTGAAAACGCTGACTGCATCATCATAAGAACAAACATCTCTAAGACGTTCACATTGGCTCGGTTATATTTAGGAAGCAAATTTCAGTTGAAGAAAGGAAAGTGTGCTTCAAGTTTGTTTGATTGCAGCATTTCACACTTTTACAGGTCACCCTGCTTTTACATATTCATATTTATGTAGCACCAGAGAGGCTGAATATTTTATAATAATTTGCTGCATCCATAAACCCTATACAGCCATGCTCTTGTATTCATATCCCGTAGAATCAGTATTGGCCTGCAGCAGAAGATGTAAGTATTTCAGTAGAGCGCTGGTGTTGTTTATCATTATACTTTGAGCATCAGGTGTTACACTTGTAATTGCTGTTTTCTTATCGGTGTGTTAATGCCACGAAGCAAAACTAGAGTCAACCACACAGTATCCTGCAGGTTTCCCATGCTTTGTGTGTGTGTGTGTGTCAGTGTGTGTGTGTGAGGGAGCGTGTGCACGCAGCAGATGAGTCATCCGCAGGCTAACAGCAGTTAGCTGTTTCTGCAGGGGTTGTTATGGGAACTTTGTCCGTGTCTTATTCCACCGAGGCCGTTCAAGGACGCACACCTTTTTCATCTTTCTTGTTTTGCACAATTTCTTTCTGTCTTTCTTTCCCAGACTCCCAGATGGTTTTACGCAGCTCCTGAATCTGACCCAGCTCTTTTTAAACGATGCCTTCCTGGAGTATCTGCCTGCTAACTTTGGGAGGTAAACTGACTGTCTTTGATAGCTTGTGATTAAGTACTTTGGTGAACAGAGTCTCTATTTTTGTGCACATACAGGTTCATTAGCCTTCACAGTTTGCTAATGAATTTGTTTCCAGTTAACCAGTTATCCATCTTTACATCATCACTATACATTTTAGCATTTCATCCAGGTCATAGTGTGCTACTGTTTGCTAGAGCATAAGAAAATCTATATGTTGCAGGTATTCTCTGAATGGATGAATACCAGTGGGTGTTGATCATATGTAATGCTTTCAGTGTCAAAATGGGTTTGGCACTGTTTTGTACCAAATTAAACGGGGCTTGTTTCTCTTATTTGACCTGATGTAACTTCCCAAGCATTAGCTGTTGCAGTCGATAGATTGTTATTGCATTGAATTAAGTTTCATGTGCCTTCTGGCTTTTCAGACTCTCCAAACTACGGATCCTGGAGCTGAGGGAGAACCACCTGAAAACAATGCCAAAGTGAGACAAACTGCCATATGTGTTTTTGAGTATATGTGTGTGTGTGTGTGTGTGAGAGCGAGAGAAACATTTAGTCTCATGTGTTCCTGAGTGTGCGCTTGCATTTCCAGATCCCCGGATAAAAACTGTATTTATCTCTGCAGGTGTTTTCAAATACTGACGAAGCATGATATAACATCAGTGTGTCACTCATAACTGTTTTAAATGTTTGCGGTCTAATGTTATGGAGCTGACTTTATCCTCACCATCACCACAGAGGACAGCTCCACTACAAACTGCTTCTAGACTCAATAACCTTGCAATTGCAGATTAACAGTGATTTCAGTAACAGTGTCTTGTGAGAAGTGGTAATATTAATGCCAGTTACCCTACCAATGCAATTGCTAAGCTTAATCACAAAAGATAATGAAATTTGTGTTCAGTTGATTATGTCTTTGTTGTAAAAATGCGTCTTGGAAATATATCTTATATGACTGGAAAGCCTGCTAGTTTCCCCTTTAAAGGATCCACATTTGTAAGGAAAATGCATCTGTGGGTTAAAGAGTAGAGTTCAATATGTGGGTTGTGCCTATGAAACACTTGCCAAATGTTCTCTGCCTGTGCTAAACAGTAAATTCTGCTGTATACGTATGCTACATGCTAAAGTCACCGCAGTACAGGGGTTTGCTTGGGCTCAAAACTTCTAACAAACTAAGTAAGTTTGAGAACTGAGTTTAAGAATTCACTGTGTCCAAATTCAGATGAAGTATTTAAAATTTTAAATGTGTGCTGTGAGGTCTTCGGTGCGTACAATTTTAAATTTATGTACAAAATGTCAAACCTGTACTAATCAGTGGATTCTTTCCTCTCAGGTCCATCCACAGACTGACACAGCTCGAGAGGCTGGATCTGGGTAGCAATGAATTTTCTGAAGTGGTGAGACCAGAAATGAAATTAGTAAATGTGGACATGAAAAATTAAGAGAAGGAGAAACATAAAAGGTTGAACTATACAGTGCTGTGCATGCAGTATGTTTAAGCTACTAAACAATAAAGTAACACAACCAAAAGTGTTATCTGTAAATGAACTGCAGAAAAGAAAGGCTGCACCTGTACATAATTAGTAGTCTCAATATAAATGCGAAGTCTAAATGTATAATTTATAGTGTGTGTTCAGTGAAAATGTCGGTTTTTCTTTTCGCATGTCAGCCGGAGGTGTTGGAACAGATCCACAATCTGAAGGAGCTATGGCTTGATAATAACTCTCTGCAGACTATACCAGGGGTGAGCAGAAGTTGGGACAAAAAGCTTCATGTGAGCATATACAGTTGAACATGTCTATGCTTTTTTCCGATTTCTGCTTATTCGTCTTTACTCTGTTCTTTTCTCCCCGCACAATAGTCAATAGGGAAGCTCCGTCAATTGCGGTACTTGGACTTGGCTAAGAATCGTATCGAGACATTGGACGCGGACATTTCGGGCTGCGAGGCTTTGGAAGACCTGCTGCTTTCCTCCAACATGCTGCAGCACCTTCCTGACTCTATAGGTATACACATATGGACACGCAAACGCACCCAAAAACACTATGAGTCATTCAGAAAGTGTTACCTACTTTATACTTTTACCAAACTGGTCATTCTGTTGTGCTTTTGTGGAGGCCAATTTAAGATTTGACAAGTAGAGCTAACATTGTTAGCTAAGTAGCATAAATGCTGAAAACAGAGAAAAACAGCTAGCCTAAATTCTGTCATTTTCCAAACATAAACAAAGACTCTGAGTAGCCTAATGACTTTAAAAGTAATGAAAGCAAATGGAAATTTGTTAGCTTCATTTTAAGTATATACCAGTAGGGCAGCAGCACATATTTAAATAAAATATTGGATATTTTAGCATATTTTTTATTCAGCGATGATTATCCACACAGCGTTATTGCTACAGGCAAAAGACAGAAAAGTCACCAGCAGCACTGAGGGTAGCTGGCTGTTAGAGGTGGGAATCACCAGGCACCCCATAATATATTATATCAATACTTTGATACTATAGTAACATTGTACAATATGCCAAGTATTGCGAAACCATACCTCAATTTATCATAGTTTCAACTGTCATCAGAGTTAAACTTTGTCAACAAGACTAAAGTTATCTCACTTTAGTTATTTTTTTGCCATAAAATGAGATTGTCAAGCATACCGACACGAAAACCTCCCAAACCCTACCGTAAGGCCACTGTTGGGGGTAACGTGTTAATCACATTACATTTTTCAGTATTGCTTTAGTTTATTACATTCAGTAATTACAATACAATTATAATTATATTGTTACTGTCGTGACAAAGGTTCTTCACTTATCTAAGCTTCAGGCGGGTAGAAAGAAAAAAAAGCCTCAAACAAACATGTTTTGTCTTCCTGTGCGTTTGAGCTGCAATCAGCTGATTTCAGTTCGGTAGAGCTGATTTAGGGAAATCTGGAAAATCTCATGATGGTGGTGCATGCGATGAGCCCTCTTGTTCATAGTATTCCCAGAGTATTTTTATTTTATTTAATAAAATATTGACATTGCCATCCTTATATTAACACAATATTGCAAGCATATTGACACTACTGATAAATGCCACACATTATCACTGTGCTGTAGTTTGAATTCCTAGGTGTGTGTGACTGTGCTGACTGGGGTGTTTTTCCATTCATTGCCAAGAGGTTTGCTGAAAGAGAATTTGGAGCTAAATAGTGCATTGTTTACCTGCAACCTGAGCATCAGAAACTGTTCAGTAAATTGGTCATTGTTTTCAGAGATATTTGCAGTTACGATAAGAAACGCTGGAAACATTAAACCCCAGTTGTTTTTGATTGTGGCATTGCTTGGCTGTTTTTCCAGGATTCTTGGTCAGCTTTTCACAGTCTGTAGATAACGTAAAACAGGGGTGGCAACTCCAGGCCTCGAGTGCCGGTGTCCTGCAGGTTTTAGATGTGTCCTTGATCCAACACAACTGATCCAAATTGCTAAATGACCTCCTCAACATGTCTTGAAGTTCTCCAGAGCCCTGGTAATGAACTAATCATTTGACATTTGGACACCGGCACTCGAGGCCTGGAGTTGCCTACCCCTGGTGTAAAGAGTCACTTTACACCAACGGTTGAGGTGTTTCTGTGTGGAGTTTGTATGTCATGGTTGTGTCTTGGTTCTCTGCAGATACTCTGAAATCCTCCCACAATCCAGAGACACTCATACGTTTTTTTAAACTGCTGTTTATTTCCATATTCATCTTCTTTTTCTAACAGCCACAGGGAGCAAGTGGAGATGAATGTACTGTACCACCTGAGCCACAGGTTTGAGGCCCCTGCTCTAGGAACAGAGTAATTTTGCATGTGTGTGTGTGTGTTTGCAGGAATGTTAAAGAAGCTGACAACACTAAAGGTAGATGACAACCAGCTAACCTCACTGCCTAACACCATTGGGAGGTAAGAAAAATGCACACACACTCCATCAAAGCCAAATACACATCTATACTTTTATAGTGTATACTTTTTTTTTCTTCAAAAAACTTTAAAAGCTCCTTCAGCAGAACCTGCTGTCATTTTAGATGATCTCCACAGGTGACATGTATCGTTGGTGGGTTGTTGTTTTCCTTGTTTATTGCTGTTAGCTGCTGTGTTGTTATGCTGGCTGATGACTGGGGGGGGTTCTGTGTGTTGTGTTTGCTGCATTGCCGCGGCGTTAGTCCGAAGCCCAAGCAAGGGTGAGTAACATTAGCCTCCTGGATCCGGGGGTGTGTTCAGAGACAGACAAATGTTCAGCTGTGTTACAGATACAAGAATTCATGCTTGCTGCCACATGCTGTCCATGTGGGAAACATCTTCACATTAATACATGAATTACATGCAAACATAAACACGACTTTGCATTTTCTTCTTGTTGGGACATTTGGACGTAACGTTTGAGTAAGACTCTCACTGAAAAAGTAGCATACCAGTAAAAATCTGCAGCGTACAGATGGAAATGATTGCATGTAAAAATGATTACAGTAATGCGATTACATTCTCATTATTATCCATCACAGTCCAGATTTGGTGGCAGTAATTCCATTATTTGTTTTGGGAAAATATGAGCATTTATTAAATTAGGCAGAAGATTTTTGTTTTCTTTCTTTTTTTAAATTCCACTTAAAGTGCTTTTCTTTCATCTCTCTCTCTATATTTAGAGATTAGTTAGAAGTTATGAGCTGGTAAATTTTTGACGAAATGCAGTCCAAACATGGCCCAAAATTAGAGTGATATTAAACTACATCAGTTTGGATGGGAATAATTTGATTCTGTTGGGTTTTTTGGTTTGTTTGTTTGTTTTTACACGTTAAATCGATACTTTTTCCCATGTGGCTTTATGCATAAACATGTGCAGATGCCATGTTTAACATTATCATTACACTTTTGCAAGATTTGTATCTGAGCGCACTGGAAACATTTTGTCTTCCTGGACAGGTCCCAGGTTTTAGCTTCAATAAGTAGTGCTGTAGATCCATTAAATCCCCTTAAAAGGTCCTTTTCTTACCTTTAGTTTTTAAGTGTTTCTTACTAATGATGAATGTGATCCCTTCCCAATGTTTCAGTTTCCATGTAGAATAAATACTGCATATAGACTTTACTGGATATGTGTCGAATCCACATAGAACATAAATAAATAGAATGAATACTGCTGCTGGTACTACTACTGTTATTGTTTTGCTTACTAAAGTCTTAAAATGTTTAAAGCCTCTGCTACATTAGACATAAGAAAGGTGCCATCATGGCAGCGTACACTCACTGGTCACTTTATTAGGTACACCTTGCTAGTTGAGTCCCCTTTTGACTGCCTTCATATTTGGTAAAGATTCAACAAGTTGCTGGAAACATTCCTCAGAGATTAGTAACAGACAGCTTCATGATTACCAAAGTGTGTCAAGAATATATCCTAAAAATCATTACACCTACAGCACTGAACTGTTGATGCAAAACAAAGTGGAATTTTATTCTGACATTATCAATAAAATGTTCCCCAGACCAGGCAATGTTTTTCCAGTCTTCAACTTTGGTGAGCCCGTGTAAATTGTGGACAGAAGGGGAACTCAGTGTTGTCTTCTGCTTCTATAGCCCATCTGCCCTTCATACCTGTACTGAGTGGTTATTTGACTCCTTCCTATCAGCTCGGAGCAGCCCAGCCATTCTCCTCTGACCACTGACATCAATAAGGCATTTTCACCAAGAGAACTGCCACTTGCTGGATATTTCCTTGAATTTGGATGATTTTTGTCAACCCTAGTGATGGTTGCTTGGGAAAACCCCTGTAGATCAGCAGTTTCTAAAGTTTCTGTCCTGCACCAATAACCACACCATTTTCAAATTCCATAAATCACCTTTCTTCCCCATTCTGATGCTCGGTTTGGGCAGCAGTGCGTTTTGACTATGTCTATATGCCAAAATGCACTGATTATATTTGCATAGTAACTGCAATATTTGCGTTAACAAGCAGTTGAACAGGTATACGCAATAAAGTGATTGGTGAGTGTATCCTTTTATATTTTTACTACGTATCTCAACGTGTTTGCTCATGACTAATGCTTCTATGAATGTGCATCTTGAGTATTTAAACCAGAGGGAACTGAGGTTTTTTTTCTTTTTTGTCCTTGGAAAAGGAGGATTATAATCTTGTGATTGGGAACACAAGCAACGCTAAAGGAAAGAAACTTGAAGTTAAATGTGGGGTGTGAAAGTCCTTTCCTCTTTTCTCCTCTTGTCTCCTCTCCTCTCCTTTTCCTTCCTGTCAGACCGTATGGTGGCCCAGATGGTCCGGTCTATCGGGAATAATAATAGCAGACTAATGCAATGTTAACAGTGACAGTACATTAATGTAAAATTGTTGTCTCATTAGCATTAGCCTGCTGTTAGCGTGATGCTAGGACAATGATGGCAGTCAAAGGGGGCGGTCATGGTGTCCTGTAGTGGGCCTGCTGTGGATCTTGCTGTATAACTGAGTGGAGTGGAGAAATTGAGATCCAGGTTGAAGAATTTTAAGATTTACAAAGGGGATGAGATGGGTGGCCATCAAATGAGGCCAAATTCATATTAAGTCATTTATTGATTGATGGATTCTTCAATGTGTTGATCTTTTCCCTCTCTCTCAACACTCGCCACTTATTAACTGGTGCAAATTTTCCTTTTCATCATAACACGTTTAAAGATGTGGCAGCTGACAGTCGTCGTGTTTGTTGCTGTCAACAAATCCCATGAAAAGTCTGAAACTAGGTAAACATGTCTGTGGAGCTTACTCCAGCACAAACCTAAGCAAAAAACTTTGAAAACATTTTGTGTGTAAATGCCTCAGAGAGTCCTTAACCTTCTGTACAAATGTTCATTTAAGTGAGGTAACACACTATTTTAATACACTTTTAATTTATCGTGATAGTGTGTGACGCTGACGTGTCACCAAGTTAAATGATGAGGCTCATTTAATTATGTGTGTGTTGGACAACAATAGTACTCTGTTGCTCAAACAAAAAATATATATACCCCCCATCCATTCATTCCTTGTTTCAGTCTTATCACATGATGTGTTGACAGCTGTAGGAATAACGAATACTGCCATTCTTATTCTTTCAAACCCATGTCTGAGTAATTTAATGTTACAGAAGAGATTGTGTTGCCTGCAGAATGATTTCCTTTCTATCTCTGTCATGCTCTCTCTGCCTCTTCCTTCCTGCCTTTGTTCCTTCCACTCAGTCTGTCTCTACTGGAGGAGTTGGACTGTAGTTGTAATGAGTTGGAGTCGCTGCCTCCCACCATCGGCTACCTGCACAGCCTGAGAACCTTCGCTGCCGATGAGAACTTCCTCTCAGAGCTGCCCCGCGAGGTATGGAGATGAAGACGCATCTTGAAATCTTTGCACTTCTATGTCCATTACTTAAAAAAAAAAAGCCTTTTGAAATCAGATGAATCTTTTTGACACAGCATGTATTATGTGCACGGGTGCACACGGTTACTTTCTTAACATGGCAGACTTCTCAGCAACAAACTGTGTCCGCTGACAGTGACTTACTGGAGTCTCTGTAAGCCTGTGAAGCGATTTCTACCCAGTGATATTTTCTGGTTTCTCTTAATCTTTTAATGAGATTATGTGCGTTAGATGATCATCTCCTCAAATTCTTTGTAATTTTACTTTGCAAGATGTTATTATGAAGCTGTTGAACCCCTCCCTGTCCATAATTCTTAAAGCCAATCTGGGCCACTCGTGTTCCTCCTAACCATCTTCCTAATTAACCTAATTAGCTCCCACTAATGATGTTCCTCTTGGTGTTTCTTTACATTGAAGAACTTTTTGTCATGGTCCTGGGTTTTGTGTCCTTGTGTTTTGGTTCATGTCTTGATCATAATTAACAATAGTAGTTTCAGTTCCCTCAGTGTTTCCTGTCTCTTCCTTCTTGTGTTTCATCTTCCTGTTAGTGCCCGTCTCTTTTGTCTTCTGGTTACTTCCTGTTTTACTTTGAAGGTTTGTTTCTTGTTGTTGTTCTTATTCTAGTTTCCATTTGTTTTTCCTTCCTTTGTCTTCACCTGTCGTTGATTGATTTCACTTGCATTTGGAGTTTTTAGATCATTGCTGTTCCTTTTTGTGGTCAGTTATTAAAACGTCTTGTTAAACTACTTAGCCTTCAGTGTACTGTATTTGGATCCACTCCAGGAGTGACACTTTTCCACGCTTTTGGTCCCATGTCCCAACTTTTTATAAATGTTTTTCTCCCATTTAGTTGAAAATGAGCATTAAATTCTTGTCCTTGTCCCAATTTTTGTTATGATTTAGTAATGATTTGTACCTAATTTCATTCTGTTTTTCTTAATCATTATTTTAGCAGTCAACTTTTTGGAAAGTGTTTTTTGTTTGTTTTATCTGGTTCAAAGTGTGATGACAGATGTCAGCCATGTTGCAGATGTTCTTTTTCAGTTATTATGATGCTAGGTATTACTAGCTTAGGTTGGTTGAAGCCCATTGTTGAAAGAGAAGATGATAAATCTGGATGCATTAAATATATTACATGTTTGAATGGAAAACAAAAAATATGGTCACTTTAAAAACAACATTATTACATTTTGTAAACGTAAGGTGTTGAACATTATCAAACGCACCTTACAAAGATGCCCAAAAGTCTTATACTATCTCTAATTTAACACTCATCAGTCTGAAGATGTCCAGTGTAATATAGGTTAATTGTGATGCTGTGGATCTTGCTCACTATGCGACGTATATCTAATGTAATCTGACTGTCTGTGTGTTTCAGATCGGTAACTGCAAGAACGTGACCGTCATGTCACTGCGGTCCAACAAACTGGAGTTTCTTCCTGATGAGATCGGACAGATGACCAAACTGCGAGTCCTTAACCTCAGCGACAACAGGTACACCCACACGCACACACACACACACACACACACACACACACACACACACAC